CCTGACAGAGTGGGATTTGCAGTTGTGGGTTTGACCTGCATTGGAGTTGACGGGGTTGCCAAAGCCTGTTGGGTAGCGTTGATGGTGGGCTGGGCGAATATTTTTGTTGGTGGGTTTGAGTTTGACAATGACTTGCTAAATATGGGTCAGTAACCAGCTGCAGTGTTCCTCATTTCTCATGTCCTTATCTTCTTTAGTCTCCCAGCTCGTGGTGAGAAATTTCAACACTATATATGTGACCCATCAAGTGTGATGGAATATGCCAGGGAAATAATTTGATCCCAGTGTGTAACTGTCACATAGATTTGGCTGCAATTACGCTCCTGACGCAGTCATTTTTCCTGTACAATAAGAGATTTATTCCTGATAAAGCCTCTGGTATTTCTGGATTAGTTTGTTCTTCACTGATGTCTGTTTCTTCTGCCTTTAACTTGTATATGTTTTCCGTTAGTTTTTTATTTTCTCTTTTATTAAATCTTTATTTTCTGGCACTTTCCCTGGGACTGCACCTCTGAGGAGGTGCAGTCCCAGGGAACTTATCCTAACTTAGCTGCTACAGTGTAGCAGCTAAGTTAGGATAACTCCTGTGTTGGTTGATCGTCGTACTACTGACCACTCTTATCCTGTCCAGAGTTTCTCTGTCTGTCTGTCTGTCTGTCTGTCTGTCTGTCTGTCTGTCTCTCTCTCTCTCTCTCTCTCTCTCTCTCTCTCTCTCTCTCTCTCTCTCTCTCTCTCTCTCTCTCTCTCTCTCTCTCTCTCATCACTTTTACGCGACTCACCAATCCTCTTAACTCTTATAAATTTTTTATTAATTTTCATTTAAATTCAGACCACTTTTTTTCTTCACCTATCACTAGTGTGCGTTTCTCGGGGTGTTCTGTCTTTCTCTTTATTATTTGTTTTCTCAGAATCTCTTTCACAAAAGTTAACTTATATTTAGATACGTTTGTATTGCAAGGGAATCGAACACTTTTTTTTTTTAGTTTTGCGCAGACTTCTCCAGCTGTTTACCCACAATGTTTGCCTCTGTGTGTGTGTGTGTGTGTGTGTGTGTGTGTGTGTGTGTGTGTGTGTGTGTGTGTGTGTGTGTGTTATGTGTCGTCGACCGACCCATTAACATGAATATGCAATAAGATTATTGTTGCTATTGTTGTTGTTATTAATGATGCTGTTGTTATTGATGATGATATTATTGATGATGTTGTTATTGATATTATTGTTGATGATAAAGTTGTAGTTGTTGTTGTTGTCATTTTTGTATTTACTATGTGCGACTCTATCATTCTCTCCCTCATTACCATCATCATCACCACCACTATCAAGTGAAGCATTACCATCACAACCACTGCCACCACCATCACTTCTATGCCCCCCACCATATCACCAACAAACCCACCACTACCACCTCCAACACCACCACCACCACCACCACCACTACCATATCATCCACTGGCTCCCACCACCGGCTCCCACCACCGGCTCACTCTGTCGTAACATTCTAAGACCCTCTCAGCATGATAACCAGTGACCTGGAGGACCAGGTCTGGCCTTGGCCCTCTCATCCGGGCAAGTATATAATAGGGGTGAGACAGAAAGAGGCTATGTCACTTCTTCTGGAGGCACGGTGGGTGATGGTTGTGTTGTGGTTGTGGTAGTTGTGGTGGTGTTAGATAAGGTGATGGTAGTAGCTACGGTACAACTTTTACTGGTGGATAAAAAGAGCGAGACTTGGACCGAGTGTATATACACAGTGTATATACACAGACAGATGTCTATACACTGGATATAGACAGAAAATTGCCTACCTTTCAGTGTACATACGCGGAGAGGTGTATATCTATCATTTTATATGCAGAGACAGGACTACAATATACTGTTTGATAGTTACACTGTCTGACAGTTACACTGTTTGATAGTTAGGCAGTGTGTGGCCACACTAATCTATATGATAGTAACATTGTGGCAACACAGTGTAACTATCATATGTAATAGTAACACTGTGGAATAGTAGCACATAAGGAATAATAGCACTGTGGCTACTCTATTCCAATGCGTTAATGTAACATTTCATTGCACAGGAAGGACTTCATACAGGAAGTAATGACATCTATCCGAGTGGGGTAGAGTGTGTGAGAAAAGAAGGGAGAGGCCAGCATGTGTGGGAGGAGAAGGAAGGAGTTTCATGTGTGGGAAGAGAAGGAAGGAGTTTCATGTGTTGGAACAGTTGTGAATGAGCCACAATGTTCTAAACTGTGTGGGACGATATTCTATTAGTTTTCGTTTGAAGAGAGGGAGGTGAGAGGGGTCATGTAAAAGGGCAGCTGAGAGGGGTCAGGTGAAACGTGTCAGGTAAGAAGAGGGATAGCTGTTAACACTTTCCCCATCTCCCATTTCACTTCCCTCCTTCATACATAGTACTCACGGTTGAGTGAGGTTAGGTAAGACTCGTCGGGAAAGAGGACAAGTGTCTCCTGACGCGGGTCTTAGTCATGATGAGTGGTTAGTGGTGGTGGATGACGGGAGATAAAGCGAGATTTATGTATGTCAGGTGTAATGGTGAGTAAAATATAGCCAGGTGCTTGAGTGCTAGACAGATGCAGAGAATGGCTGGTTAGGTGTGTTGGTGAATGAATAACGTGATGAATGACAGGTGTGTAGGTTGGAAGCAACAGGTGTAGTAATGAGTGTTTAATCACTGCATATCACTGCAGAGATGGTGAAATAACCAGTTCCACTCAGTGGAGATCACCCTGATTGAAATCTACCCTTGAGTTATAAGGCGGAGAAGGAATAGCTATTACATACTCTGCAAGGCAGAGAGGAGCTAACTGCAGAACTAAATGAAGAGTGCAATATGCACTCAACAGGTACACTCAGTAGCACTCAGCTGCGGCATTCAGTAATACAGAATAGGCTGTCAGTCAAAAATAATACATTTAACACAAATGGAAGATGTTCTAGGCAACTTGTAAACAAATAGAATAATCTAACAATATTATCAAGTTAAAAGCTAAACCCGAAGGGGTTGTGCTATAAACAGAATAAATATCCCGTAATTTACAACCCTTGGAAAAAAAAAAGTCTTTTTTTTCCTCAGGTTCAGTTTTATTTTGAGTTTTATTTACTCAAATAATCTAACAGTATTATCAAGTTAAACGTTAAACCCGAAGGGGTCATGCTATAAATAGAATAAATATCCCGAAGTTTACAACCCTTGGAAAAGAAAAGTCTCTTTTTTTTTCCTCAGGTTCAGTTTTATTTTAAGCTTTATTTAGCTTTCATTGTTTTTTTTTGTTTGTTTTATTTCGCTTTTACTTATTATTTATATATTTCATTGTTTCGAGTTTTAGTTCGCATATATCTTTTAGATTCTCGTGTATTATTATCTCGACTTAAGCTTTTATTATTTTTATTAAATTTTTGTTTTTTTGTTTTATTCACTCTTCGTTTTATTCACTCTTCGCTTTATTTACTCTTCGTTTTATTCACTCTTCGTTATATTTACTCTTCGTTTTATTCACTCTTCGTTTTATTCACTCTTCGCTTTATTTACTCTTCGTTTTATTCACTCTTCGTTTTATTCACTCTTCGCTTTATTTACTCTTCGTTTTATTCACTCTTCGTTATATTTACTCTTCGTTTTATTCACTCTTCGTTTTATTTATTCTTCGTTTTATTCACTCTTCGTTTTATTCACTCTTCGCTTTATTTACTCTTCGTTTTATTCACTTTTCGTTTTATTTACTCTTCGTTTTATTCACTCTTCGCTTTATTTACTCTTCGTTTTATTTATTCTTCGTTTTATTCACTCTTCGTTTTATTCACTCTTCGTTTTATTCACTTTTCGTTTTATTTATTCTTCGTTTTATTCACTCTTCGTTTTATTCACTCTTCGTTTTATTCACTTTTCGTTTTATTTACTCTTCGTTTTATTCACTCTTCGTTTTATTTATTCTTCGTTTTATTCACTCTTCGTTTTATTTACTCTTCGCTTTATTTACTCTTCGTTTTATTCACTTTTCGCTTTATTTACTCTTCGTTTTATTCACTCTTCGTTTTATTTATTCTTCGTTTTATTCACTCTTCGTTTTATTTACTCTTCGTTTTATTCACTTTTCGTTTTATTTACTCTTCGTTTTATTCACTCTTCGTTTTATCTATTCTTCGTTTTATTCACTCTTTGTTTTATTTACTCTTCGTTATGTTCTCGTATTACGAACTTTACTTTTCAATTTTATTTTGTTTATACAATTTTTTCCCGTATTTTTTTCCCATTTACTTTCACTCGGCTGAGCAACGTGTTGACACGAACTTTAAAAAAAGAGATGAAAACAAACGAAATGGCAAAAAAGGCTCTCTGAAGCCTTTCCAAATGTCGCAACCAGGATGATACAGGTTAAACTGTGCTGCGTAATGCCAGTAGAAAGGCAGTAAGTACCTTTGCCTGACTCGCCACTGCCGGACTTACTATCACACCTTTGCTAGTCTTAATTGAGCACCTGTGCCAGACTTGCAGTCGCAGCTTCCCTAGTGAAGGGCTCTTGATCCAAGGAGTTTCAGCTATAAACCTATATAATCTCTGGGATGGGGTGGGGGGTTTCGCTTCCAAAGAATGTAAAAATGAAATTATAATAATAATATTAATAATAATAATAATAGTAATAATAATAATAATAATATAATAACAACAATAATAATAACAATAAAAATATTATTATTATTATTATTATTATTATTATTATTATTATTATTATTATTATTAAACAATCAATTGATTATAATAATAATATTATTAACAATAATTACAAAAATAATAGTAACAATAATAATAATAATATTATTATTATTATTATGAAGCTATAATTATTTGATAAAATAGTATTAATAATAACTGATAATTATTTGTTATTATTATTATTATTATTATTATTATTATTATTATTATTATTATTATTATTATTGTATATACAAATAATAATTACAGGACTTATACATTTCAGATGAAGGCTGTACTGCTTCTAGCTGTAGCAGCCACTGTAGCTGCTAAAGCAGGCTTTAGTGGTTACGGATTAGGCGGATTCGGAGGCGGATTCGGAGGAGGATACGGTGGTGGATTCGGGGGAGGAATTACTCACTCTGGCGGTGCTTTTGGAGGTGGCGGCTTGTATGGTGGTGGCGGCTATGGTGGAGTCTTTGGTGGCGGTGTTTACGGAGTGGTGAGTAGTTGGTACGGTCGATATGTACAATGACTGTGATCGATGTGTATAATGATGGAATGGGCTTACTAAGTGTTACTTATCAATTGTTCCAGCCACATTATTGTGACTTCTAAATATAGTGAGTTAACTGTGAACTGTTTCAACCTAGAAATTTTAATCTTATAATCTTGTTTAGCTTAGGAACACCTTGACAAAGGTTACTATCTTTAGAGATGTTTTGCAGCAATGTTTGCAGCGAGTTAACTTGTTTCTGGCAAGTTGCCAAAACATCGCTGCAACATTGCAAAGACATTAATGTCCAGTCACTTGTGGACATAATTGTCGTAGGTTATAATAAAAAAAATCAATTGCATTGCAAGCGAAGAAGTGTCCGTAATTCAATTGTTTATTTTATGACAAAAATATTTATTTTTGCTCATAAATTTTGAATTATACACAGCTTTTTGAACATTTTTTATTGAATTTTAACTGTTTTTAGGATTTTTTTAAGATAATTGTAAAGCTAATTGTAGCAATTGAATTTTACTGAAGGTTTTTATAAGCGGTATTTAAAAACACAAATAAGAAACCAAACTGGATATAGATCGCCGCATGACAATGAGAAACTGAGGAGCTAGACACAGTTACAGAAAGAAGAGGATTCTTCAGTCAGTTGACTGAGGAAATCTGTTCCTCAGGCGGAACCTCTCCACCTGTCTTAGCAGAATTTGTCTCCATAAAATTAACCTGGTGTTTCTTGTTTCACGAAGGTGGACCTGAGCTTGGAGTACAGCGATTACCACTTCTCGTGGCGTCACGACGGAGGTAGGAAGTACGACTGGTATACTGCTAACTATTACTGCTCCAATCTGGGCTACGGTTGGAAGGGCGTGAGTATAGAGTCATACCAAGAGGACAAAATCATATCCAACATCATCTATCAAGGTTAGAAAATTGTCAGCGATGGAGTTGCTTGCATTGGTCTGTTCATTAATGAATGAGAACATTCTCATCTAGTCTAACGTTGTATATATGTTGTATATATATCTAGTTAGGTGAGGTACTGAACCAAAGGTCAACTAGTTTTTATTTACGATTGTGATTTGTGATGTTATATTTGCGAGTAGTATCATGATATATGTGTTTTCAGACAAGGTGAAGTACATCTGGACGGGTGGTTACCGTGAAGGATATGATTGGGTCTGGCCTTCCGGCTATCCCTTCTACGGCCTCAACTGGTCGCTCACTGGAGGGTAAGACGTACATTTGAGTTCCTTCTTCCTCAGATCAGCTCTGCAGATAATTCTGTTTTGGTTCTTACATTAGAGTAACTAAAAATATTATTTCTTTAAAACTAAAATAAATCAACAATTAGTGATGGAAAATGCTTATACATACTCATTAGAAACGTTAAATCATTTATGACAGCAGAGTACTTACTTTTTTTTCTTCAGTGAGGGATATCCCCAACCAGACAACCGTGAGGATGGGAAGGAGTTCTGCCTGGCAGTCCTGAACAACTTCTACAACGACGGCATCACTTGGCACGACGTGGCTTGCCACCACGAGAAACCCATCATCTGTGAGCGTCGCAGAGATGGTTACTATGGCTGAAGAACCATATGTGTGACATGTGTGAGTGACGCATGACAATAACTCCGGCCTAAGAGAGCCACATCACTCCTGTCTTCTGAGACGACTGTATCGGTTCTGGTCACGTCAGAACCCTGTCCTGTCGAGTCACTAGGACAGAACACTGTCCTACCGATTAACGTCTGTACTCTTTCTTTCGTTTAGAGTTTTAAGAATCTATACCATTACTTTTCTATGTAATTTAACTTCTAAGTAATGGATATTAATATATGTATCTATATATATATATATATATATAATATATATATATATATATATATATATATATATATATATATACATATATATATATATATATATATATATATATATATTATATATATATATATATATATATATATATATATATATATATATATATATATGTATAAACACACTAATGTATATTACATTAAAACGACACCTGTCACTTCCTTTAAAACATATCCTGTTATTTGAGAGAGAAACATTTAAGGTTGAACAGTCTCAATATTTAGTGTAATTTCCATTCCGATCTCCTGATTACATTTGCGTTTTCAAGGGGGAGCCTTGTTGCTGTCTTCTTCCTCTGATCAAACAAAATAACTCCCACCCCTGCTATTCCTACGGTGCTGTCTGACAAAACCATGCTCATGTATGCTAAATAATAACCCACACACAAACAAAAACA